AACAATCGAGTGAACACACGTACAACACGATGAAGTTCACCTGAAGAACGGGCTCCTCTTCAAAGTGATTGGGAGCGTCTAGAAGCATCAAATTTTTCCATTTCTCAACTTTAGATTCCCCAGAAAGCAAGAAAAGTTTTTCATGACTGGCGCAAATAAATTCCATCGAGACCGTGATTCGATCGTGCACGGCAAACCTAAGGGAATAGAATTCGATGAAGAATTCCATCCACAATCGATCAGCAATCAAGTCCCAAATCAATCAACAATCAAGTCCCAATCCAATGAAGACTCCTATCGTTACTATTTGTCATACCGATCTTGCTCGTTGTGATGCACCAGATGATGAGGCGAATGTGCTGTTGCGTACTCCTCAGATGATAACGGAGGGAACCAGCTTGCGATGTGGCCATCATCTCCCATCCCTAAGACCACCAAGCGTGGACGGCCAGTCGATGCAAGAGTTCTTCGTAGTCTTGATTCATAATCGGAGACGCACTCATCGATCGGTTTTGTCGTATCTGGGAAGACGATGTTCTCTTCCAGAATTGGGATTCCGGCTGATAAAAACAGAAGTCTAGAAGTCCCAATGATATACTTGTCATCATGCATACCATGAGAGAGAAGAGTTTCACGAATCATTTTTTGATTCGAATCATTGTGAGTTGGAGGAACAAATCTTTCATCAACAAGGAAGACAGCCACCCGAGACCAGTCAATTTTGGCGCATTCATGTGTTGCGCATTCTGGCTCTGGATCGATTCGTTGGCTGGAAGGCCGACGAATACAAAATTCTCCAGTTTCATTCGAACATAATGAAGCAAGCGTCTTCAATACCTTCTTTGGAGTGGAACCTCCTGACAACAGAATGATATTGTATATGACTCGAATACAAAATCGCTAGTAATTAACTCTGATAAACACACCAGAGAGGCCAATAAGAACCTTAGAGTATGGGGACTGTCGTTGTGCTCCTACAATGGTCTTCCATATGAACTGAACACTCTCAAGCACGAACGCCAATTCCGTGTACGCTCCCAGATATCGAGCAGGATGAGGCCGCTGGGATTGAGTGTAGTATCCACTTGCTGGTGTTTTCGGTGCTAGGGAAGTCATTTGTGTAAGCCATGCCACATGTGAACAGCCTCCTGCAGGTCCACTCTTTTAACAACAAGCAAACCCATTAAGCCACATAGACAAATATGCCGTCTTGTGAAATTGGACTCATTGGATTGGCCGTTATGGGCCAAAACCTCGCATTGAATATCGCACAACATGGATTCAAGATTTCTGTGTATAACCGAACAGCGTCGAAGGTGGACGACACTCTCACTAGGGCAAAGAACGAAGGCAACTTACCAGTTGAAGGACACAAAGACCTTCCATCGTTTGTAAGTCTGTCTATTCTGAGAACATATCGATTAGGACTTTCTATGTCTATGATGTATAGTTCATCAGGCTTCTGTTTCCAATTTCTAAATCTTTCTAATAATCTTTCCAATTTCTAAATCTTTCTAATTTTTTAATCTTTCTTGATGGTATTTCGCGCATTCAGATCGATTCAATTGCGAAACCTCGAAAAATTATTCTTCTTGTTAAAGCGGGTCCTGCTGTCGATAAAATTCTGGATGACGTTGTTCCTCTTCTTGCAAAAGGCGATATGGTCATTGATGGAGGAAACGAGTGGTTTGAAAGCACGGAAGCGCGAACAACGAAGATGGAGGCATTAGGGTTCAAGTGCGTTCATTGGTTTTGGAATCTTCTTTGGGACATTCTCCTTTGGGACATTCTAATGTTTCACGATGCAGATATTTGGGAATGGGAGTGAGTGGTGGTGAAGATGGAGCTCGTTATGGACCCGCTTTGATGCCTGGCGGTTCTCCTGATGCTTATGAAGCGTTGAAGCCAATTGTTGAGAAAATCGCAGCACAGGTTTGAGATAGATGGATTGTTTTAGATCTGATTTCTCTATTCTGGACAGGTTGAGGAGGGTCCATGTGTTTCGTATATTGGCCCTGGTGGATCTGGAAATTACGTTAAAATGGTTCATAATGGAATTGAGTATGGCGATATGGAATTAATAGCAGAAGCTTATGATTTGTTGAAGCGTCTTGGAGGATTGACGAACGACGATCTCAACGAGGTTTTCAAGTTGAGCGATTTTTCAATAAATGAATTCATCTGCTCAAATTGTTCAGGCGATGGAATCAAGGGGAACTTCAATCTTTCTTGATTGAGATAACAGCTGATATTTTCACCCAAGTGGATGAATATGATAATCATCATCGTCTTATTGATAAAATTCTGGATGTCGCGGGATCGAAAGGAACAGGAATGTGGACAGTTCAAGAAGCCGCGCGACGTGGAGTCCCAATTCCGACAATCCAATCTGCGTTGGACATGCGATATATCTCAGTATTCAAGAAACTTCGAGTTGACGCTTCTCGGGTCTTCCCTAAACGACCGTTGGCGACTCAAGATAAAGAGCGTCTAATCAGTGAGTCATGTACGATGGATGACCCAAGTGTTTGCTCTATAAAATGCATTTACGAATTCTTGTTTATCAGAGGACGTGCAGGACGCGCTGTATTGTTCGAAGATTTGCTCCTATGCGCAAGGAATGATTCTCCTTCGCGTCGCTTCTGATGAGCAAAAATGGAATCTCAATCTCGCTGAAATTGCTCGTGGATGGAAAGGCGGTTGTATCATTAGAGCGAAATTTCTCGATCGGATTCGATCAGCATTCACCAAAAACAAAGAACTTCAATCGCTGCTGCTGGACGAAAGGTATGAATGCGAGACCTTGATGCTCTTATGCTATCGTTTTAGTTTCGCTGAAGAAATCAAGGAAAGAGAAGCAGGTTGGCGACGCGTCGTTAGCATGGCGCAGCAGCAAGGGATCCCTGTTGCCGCACTCTCAGCGAGTCTTTCCTATTTTGATGCCGCTTCATCAGATCACGTAAGTTTCAAAAGCTGGTTCTATTTTTGGATTAACTTTATTTTCCGTTTTTTCTATTTTTGCAGCTGCCTCTGAATCTCGTTCAAGCTCAACGGGACTATTTTGGAGCGCACACGTATAAACGCATCGATCGCACTGATGGACCGCACCATACAATCTGGGCTCGAACAACAGAGCTTTGAATCTCGAAATTGTAAAACAAAAATGCCACACAGCGCTTTTGGGGTGAACACTAATCTGATTTCTGCATGTCCACATCTAAACAGCAGACCTGCTCTTGGACTCGCCACTGCGGGACGACCAACCTAAAATGGCTCGTTAAAGGACTTCGTCTCAGAGACACTCCAAGAAAAATTTAAATTAATTGAACCAAAGAAAAAGCTCAACAGAATTTCGATAATGTTCCAGCAACTCTCTATGCTTTTGTGGAAATTAGGGGAGCCAGGAGGCGCTTCACAATTCTTCGTGGAGCACAAATACTTTATTTGGGCAGTGATAGCCTGCTATCTGCCCGCCATATTCGTGCTGTCACGGTTAATGGAAGGCGCAAGAGCATTTCGACTCCGGACTTTTTCATTTTTGTGGAACATGGCCCTCTCACTTTTGTCTCTGGCGGGCGCCCTGACGTTCCTTTCGAAGCCATCTGTACTTTTAACCGTGAGCCTCCCGGATGAAGAAGTAAGCGCAGCTTACAGGCCACCTTACATTCCCTTTGGTCAGAACCACGCCAACGTCCGTATTGTTATGGGACTTTTTGCGCTCTCCAAATTGTTCGAATTCGGAGATACTTTTCTTCTGGTTCTCAAGAAGAAGCCTTTAATATTTCTGCATGTCTATCACCATCTCACAACAGCCTTGTATTGCTGGCACGCACAGGCAAGCTTCCCTTTCAATCCGACGCAAGCAGTATTTTTTTCTTTTCAGTCAGTTAATGTGACAAATGGTCACATTCTCAGCTTCTTGAATTGGTCATTCATTCGTGGATGTACTCATATTACGCGTTTGCTGTAATTACTCCACGCAATCCAATTTTACGAGCCGTTCGGCCTTACATTACACTCAGCCAGATTATTCAAATGTTCGGGGGTGAGATGTTTTGTAGCACACTTCAGAAACAGTGTTCTTCATCCCTGCAGGAATGTATGTTTCACATGCGACACTCAAATATCCTTCTGTTGTTGGAGCTCAACGAACAAATGCTGCCTTGTGCTTGATCATGTACATTTCATACGGATATCTCTTTATCCTTTTCTACCTTCAAAACTACGTCAAAGCTTTGCATCCAACCGTCACAATCGCGGTTGGATTGATTCACTTGGGGGGAGGATTTGGTTTGAAATTCCTCTGGGAGCATCCCCAACGTCTCCATTTCGCAATAGAGGTCATCTTCGCCTACGCGCTCACTCGGGCACTGCTTCAACATTTCACATCATCCCTTAAATTGCTTCAAAAACCGTCGAGCAATTCAAATTCAGGTCGCAATCAAGAAAGCAACAGCATCTGGGCGAGAAGTTGCCTCTTAATTTGCAATTGTTGGTCCACTTGGGCTGTTGAAAATCAACAGCTTCAACGTTTCTACAATGCCCTCAATTCCTCCAATCCTGACAACAATATCAAATCGCACCAGGGAGATCAGTCCAATCTTGTCAAGGACTTAATGACGAATATTTCTCCAATCGCCGAGGGAGTTGCAACGCATAGCGGGGCCACTTCGACCGATATTATTCTCAGCCGTTCTTCGGTTGAGTTTCGCTTTAGTAAAGATTGGATACTTTTCATTGTGGCATTCGCTCTCCCAATGTTATACGGCCATTTAGTCCATTCTAGTTGGGTCTTGGGGTTGCTTATTCATGGATGTTTGAGATGGTGTCTTGAGCTCCACACTATAGGTCTGAATGACACATCTCTGCGCCCCGACCAGAAAATAGATTAAGGCCGAATTTTTTTTCTGTGTAGCTTCAGAACTTTTTCCAACTTGTCGAGAAACGCTCTCCTTTTGTTAGCTGGTTCCCTACGTTGTTGAACCTGGTGCCCTAAATGACGAGAGACTCGTCCAAGAGTCACATTCACTATGGAGCAATCAGTTCATTCGATGTGGCAAGAACTGGGCAGTTCACTCCGGCTGGTCCACCGCAGCAGAAATGGGGAAAGGTTGAAATGTCTTCTTCAGCTCGGGAGCATCAAGCCACAGTGCAGATGTTTGAACTCCAGCAAGCTGCAAAAGTGGCACCAGCTCCAACTTCTGATCATGACGTCAAAATGAAGCTGCGTGAATTTGACGAACCCATTTGTCTGTTTGGTGAAGGCGTGAGTATTGATCCGCGGAATTCGTACGATCCTTCATCATGTTGTCGGTGTTTGTCTTCATCAGGCTTATGAACGTCGCGAGCGATTAAGGCTGTTAATTGCACGTCGCGCTTATAAAACAACCGGTCCGGCCCTCCCCGAAGTTGTCATGCTGGATGTTGCCGCTAAGCCTGATATCGAGCAGCAAGCGCGGCTGTTTTTCACTGAAGGATCAGATGCGCTTGTCGCTGCCAGAAAATGGATCGCTCGATTTTCGCTGCCCCGCGCGGTAAAGAGACTGAAAGCAGATCGACAACGCTACGACACTGAAGATCCATTTGAAGCGGAAGTGAGCGAATTATCTTCAGCATGAGATCCAACGGTCTTCTATCATGTTCTCTTTTCAGGCGAGGATCAATGAACATAATAAACGGGTTCAAGCGCGATTGAAAGTTACTGCAAGTCAAGTTGGAGCAGATCGTCCATTAGCGTCAGGAAGATTTTCTCCCGATCATCAATTTTTTGCAACAGGTGAGATACAGAGATAGTAGACATATAACCCATAGATGAAGATGTTCTTGTGGCGTCGTTATTCCAGCCAGTTGGAGTCCGGGAGTGAAAATCTGGGGAATGCCGAATTGTAATTTGCATACGACGCTCACTGGTCACACCGAACGTGTCAATAGTGTTGCATGGAATCCAGAGTTTAGAGCGACTGATTTGGGAAGATCAGAGAGTAGTGAACGAAGTAATGAAAATCATTCAATGAAAGATGATGATGGCTCGGAGAATGATGGTTTGGAAAATTCGTCGAATATTGATGTTGCGATGACAACAGAAACACCATGTCATGCAGCGACTGGAAGTTCGGATTTAAGGATCCTACTCTGGAATTTGAATCAACCGAATCAACCAATAGGGACAATGGAAGGTAGTGGAATTATGACTCTTATATGTCAATGATTGTTATTTTTCAATAGTTGTTATATTTCAATGATTGTTATATTTGAATGATTGTTATATTTCAATGATTGTTATATTCCAATGATTCTTACGGCTCTCTCTTTTGCTCATCCTTTTAATTCTTGCAGGACATGAAGAAAGAGTTAATCGAGTCGAATTTCATCCTTCTGGCAGATATTTAGGATCCACATCTCATGATGAAACATGGAGATTTTGGGACATTGCAACTCAAACAGAGTTATTGCTTCAAGAAGGACATTCGTCGTAAGTGCAGCAATGCGCTTGATTTGTCACTCGATTCTCTTCAGCGGAGTTTACGCGTTGAAATTTCATCCAGATGGATCCCTAGCGGTCACGGGCGACCTTGGAGGAATTGTTAGAGTTTGGGACCTTCGAACGGGAAGGACTGTGATGCCGTTTCATGTGGGAAATTGATACAGATTGATAGAAATGGATATTTGGCGACACAGAAATAGAATCATTGGGACAATTCGGATCAGATATCTTTTGAATGACAGATATCTTTTGAATGACAGATATCTTTTGAATGACAGATATCTTTTGAATGACAGATATCTTTTGAATGACAGATATCTTTTGAATGACAGATATCTTTTGACAGATATCTTTTCCTTTTCTCTGCAGGGACATGTAAAGCAAGTATTAGGTCTTTCTCTTAACCCTCGAAGTATGTAACATTAATGCTGCTTCTGTTCATCATTGTCTTGTAGTGCCAAATCAAATTGCAACATGTAGTGAAGATAATACCGTTAAGCTTTGGGATCTCAGAAAAGAACGGTAAGTAGCTCTCTCATTGTGCTATGTGATCATACTGCGATCTCTTTGATTCTGTTGTATGTATTCTTGTTTTCTCATTCTCACTTTCCTCCAGATGTGTAGATACACTTTTAGCTCATGATAAATTGATTTCGGAAGTTGTTTATGAAGTGAGCATCATTAGCATTCATTCCATCTCGCTACTTTTCTCTCCTCATCAGCCAGTCAATGGAAGATTTCTACTTACGTCAAGTTATGATTGTACGTTGAAGGTTTGGAATGCGGTCGATCTCAGCTGTACACGGACACTTTTGGGACATGAATCGAGAGTAATGGGAGCCGACATCAGTAGCGGTGAGTGCCACAATGACTATCTTGTGTGTTATATTGTTATACATGACACCTCGTCATGCATGTTAATCGTGTGTTCCAATTTACTAATCATCATCTTAACAGATGGCGTTTGGATCGGTTCTGTCTCCTTTGATCGAACCCTAAAACTCTGGTGCTACGATTCGAGCGATCTTTAGCTTCTCCAATTCCTTGCTGCGTCTCGCGCAGCTTCAATTCGAATCATCATCTGGTTTATCAACTACGTTCTCTTGTACTTGAAATAAGAGTCTTCCCATTTATCTTTTTGTTTGCGCATTCTATTGAAAAGATAAACTCCATTACCTCGAACGACTTTCTTGCAATTCCATTTCCTTCAAGTCAAATTTCATTCGGCTCGCTTTCGTGGTTTTGGTTCCGTCTCACATAAAACAGCTGTAAGCGCCGGACAACTAACGACCTCAACACGTCTAAGAGACCCAATTATTCCACATCACTCGAGATGGCGACCTACGTGACTTCAGTTCCCACGGTGAGATCAAATCCGTAGACGTGAGGTACAAGTTTCTTATTGCCACTGAAAGAATTCACAGTGTATTCAATCATCATCGAAATCAACTCACCAATATCGAAAAATATTCCATCCAAGCAAACGATTCGAATCAGTTCGAACAACAGCCTCCCACCATCCGACTCCACATTCTTGAACTTTCTCATTATCAATCAATTTGGAATCAATTTTCATCGGATCACTCAAAATAACTTTCCTATGAGAATGAATCGATTGGGGCATCATGATGATGATGGAATATAAATGATCAACCAATATGAATATAACTGATCAACCAAATGGCATACGTTGCTTGTTTTATGCAAGGATCCCACTCTAATACTGTTCCCCATTGAAAGACAGTTCCATCCACATCAACACCGATAGCGAAGTGAACGCCTGCACGAATGTCAACGATTTTCTGTAATGCGGGAATTTGAGTAGGGACGAAAAATTGATTAACTCCCGGTCCCAATCCAAGACACGGAGAAGAAGAATTGCCAAGAACGAAAACATCACCAAAATCATTCAGTAAAAATGTGACTCCCAAACCGCATTCAACCCGGCAGACGTCTCCAATAGTCTTTCGAATATCTCGATCCGTTATCATTGCAGGCTGACAATGAGACACAATGATTCATATATTGATTCTTATATTTATTCCAATGACCCTTGTATTCCTATCATTGTTGTATTTCGAAACTTACGATGGGAATGTCTTGGTGAATCCCACGAAGACACAAATGATCTCCACGTCCCCATAGAAATACACCCTTCGATGAGACTGCGGCACTATGAAACGATCCAGCACTGAATTGGGACAAAACATAGAGAACATTCTATAAGTGTATTTTGGAATATTGAGAGATCTTCATGAACCATAAGAGAATTTTTAAGAGAATTTTAGAAAAGTCATCTACCTGAGATATTTTATCCGACCGCTTTTCTTTCGTTCAAACGTAACAAGAGTCGGCTTGTCGATTGCTTTCGCAAGGGGTTTCGTTCCGCACTGCCCTCTGCCAAAAAAAATGAATTAATTGAAACATGTATATCCGTGGAGGCTGCAGTTGTGCAATCAACTTTAATGACGATTCATGATTCTAGTATCGACTTGATGATATTGATGATATTGTGATTTATCATTTCGTAATGTCGCAGACCTCTCGTTTGATCCCCACGAAAATACATGTCCGTCATGCGTCAACGCTAAAGTGTGATCAGCACCACAGGCGATTTGTTTGATTTGGGACTTCATTGGGAATACTAAGGGAACATTTGGGACTGGCAGACCGTCAACAGGTCTTGCTATTCCCAGTTGTGCTCTACAAGATTGAAATATCTTCGTCATTGAGAGTCAATTTCTTACTTGTCATTCAGACCATATGCGTAAACGAAGCCTGTGTTCGTCAAGAAGACCGTATGGAACGCACCGCAGGATATTGTCAAAATACTCGCATTTGGGTTGAAGTCTTTTAGCTTCGTGAATGCAGTGCTCCAACCTGCAAGCAAGGAGATACTCGTTAGGGACATCACAACGCGCAGAAGATCCCTAGTTCGATCCTCTGTGTCCCCCCTCATTACCAGTAGGGTAAATAGTCGACGTTTCGACTCCAACTGTCACCTGTACGATTTGAAGATGCGATGTCGACGCATTCCAGTTCCTATTTTCCTGATCAATTGGACTGAAATTCACCTCCACCAAAGACGACTCAATTGCGACATATATCTCCGACTCAAAGACGACTCAATTGCGACAACATCTCCGACTCAAAGACGACTCAATTGCGACATCTCCGTTTTCTCACCTTCTCAAAACGCAGTGCATCTTGTCGTAATCGCATTGCTGTGTTGCATTCTTGAATGTTTTGTTTTCCCACTTTATGCTGAAATCGATAAAATCAACAATGTCCCAATTTGTGTGACCCACCAAGTTACATGTCATTAACATTTTCATCTTTTCTTCACGTATAATTCTTCGAATCCTGTCTCCCCTCCACCAGGATTGAATTGTTAAAGTGGCCCATCGAATTCGTTCCATTTGCCCTGAGTGACAGAGTATCCACTACACGCAGGCCCACCTACCTCGCAAAATCTGTGCAAGTGCGGATGCTTGAAGAGTAAAAGCGACTTGATAAATTCGTTCGACTCTTTGTTGTACTAAAAAGTTGCGCGCAACTGATGCGATTCGAAGCAAAGAGGATTTGATTTTTTGGATTCTTCGAAGTTTGGCCAATCTAAAAAAATTGACGGAATTTTGCAAGTCCCAATTTGAAACAAACATGCTGCAAATATTTGTACCCACATTTTAGAAAGTTTTTCCATCTGAGAACCACATCTGACTTTATATCCTCGCCAGAAGCGTTGGATTGTTGTCGCGAAGGGTACAAGCCATTTTTTCATCCGGAGAACTTTTCTAGCTAAATACGCTGAACGCAGAAATGACCAGAAACTTAAATGACCAGAAACTTAAATGACCAGAAACTTAATGACCAGAAGGACAGAACGTTGCTAACCTCGAAATGCAGATTGAATGCACGCTGCTGCTTTGTTGAGATTCTTCCACATTCTGAGTTTTCTGACAAATTTGCGGCTCTTAAAGCCCCGCCAAGCTGCCTGGATTCTAACAGCCGCCCTTCGCCTTCTAGCACGATCAAGAGCTCTTTTGAAACCTTTTGATACGCGGAATTGTCTCGCCCACTGAAGATCCCAACAGTCATGTCAAAGCTCGCTCTAATCTGCAACGACTCACTGCGGTGAGAGATCTATCGAAGCGCGCTTTTCTTATTGCACGAATTTCCCGTCCAAACTTTTTTTGCACCAAGTACCGCCGAGTGTGCTTTTGAATAACGACAGCCGCTTCTTCTCGTCTCTGACGGAGACTGCAATTCGTATATCGCACAGTCCCAAAGTCGCTGGATTTCCTACCCGACAAATTTGAGGAAGTAAATACTTCCTAAAACCAAATCGAGGAGCGCGGTTTTCTTTGATTCCGCAATCGCCACGGAATAACAACGCAAGAGTGATTGCATCCGTATGAGATTATGCATGCGGTCGTTGAAACGTCTACGAAGCAAAAGAATCATAGTATCCCAAGATGGGACAATCCCATCACCCACCTTCTCAGCATGTAGCATTGGTACGCCCTTTGAATCTTCGAAATTAATGGCTTTATCGTCCCCATCAACTTATTTAAATAATTCTCTAGTACAAGACACCCTTCCTTACGAATAAATATTCTCGTTTTCCCCGCCCTGTTATAAACAATAAACAATCACCTGAAGGACTTTCGCACCTTCCATTGAACTTCTGGAATTTTTAATCTTGAGAGAACAGTTCCGACGACTTCTTTGGGTTCACCCGTCTGTAATCATATTCACTGAATTGATAGATGTTGTATTTCACATATCGATTCTCTATCCCCAAAAATATTCTCCGCAACGCTTCTTCTGCTACGCCCCACTGGTAACCATCCAACCAATGAACATTGTATTTCCCTGTGGTTCTCGACTCACCGCATCTCTTGCGACTAGATTGATAAGCACTTGATTATCTTTCACGAAATCTTCGTAAGTTGCTCGGTAGGCAAATCCTGAGTCCCAAATCAGTTTTTTTCACTCTTGTACTCGCACATAACAACACCTCACCTTTGTGCACGAGATGAACTGCTTCGAGAATCGAAAGACAGTGGAGCTGTCCCAAAACTAGAAGGTTTGAATAATTCCGCGGCTCTTTAAGTTGGTTTGGTTTGATACATCTGTAAGGCGGCCGCTCTGGGATTCGATAGAAATTAATCGCCTACCGGATGAAATGTGCATTCGATGATTTTAAAAGAGTTAATAATTTATCCATTGATGAAGTAAATTTTGATCCAACGAACTTTCCTTTCATGGATTGCGTATCTGCCAACTCAACAGTCTTAAATGCAGCGCGCACCGCCGGATTTGTTGAAGTTTTCAAAAGCGAAACTAATTCATTCGGCATCCTGCATCAATGAAAAGTCAATTGGCCAAAATTTATGTCCCAATTGTCCCAATTCTCACTAGTCCCAATTCTCACTTGAGTTTGTTCTTTGGTACGAATTCAAGTGTCGTGTATGTCACAGGTGCTGCTGTGTGATTGACTCCAAAGGATGAACGGGGATCGAGTTTCGGCTTGACGTAAAGAGAATTCTTCTCAAATGCACGATGGCAGGCTTCAGTAAATTTTTCACTCGATCCTACGCGGAGAATGAAGGAAAATCTGGGGGATGGTAAGGATCCCTGCGCTTATCTCTTCACTCTGAGCGTCTACTCGCTGTTTACTCACCAGTTCCTAGCAAACATTGCTCTTCAAGAAGCGCTAGGACGCTTTGCCGGCGGTCTTCTAGCATCTGCATCACATACTCTGAACTTAGATATCGTCAGAATTTGCATATGTGTCATCAATATGGAGAATATGAGATTATGCATATGTCATCAATATCGACTAACAGATATGACTGCCGCGTTGTCTTCGAAGATAATCGCTGAATGGTCGATTCCTTCAGCCTCATATTGTTCTATTTCGTTACGAAAAACGCTTTGAACGAAAAACTGTTGAAGTTTCTCATTCGCGTAGTTGATCAAGAATTGCTCGATCGAATTCATTTCGAAATATTCGAATCCATAAATATCGAGAATCTGAGACAAATGATAAATTGATCAACTCATCAAGAGTGATGACAATCATCGTTCCGGCATGACGAGTGCGGCCAACCCCCCAGAGAAGTGGGATGCAGACATTATTCGCTCACCCCAATCCATCTATCGTTCAGACCGCCTGCGGGACCAACAATTTTTGCATTAATGCTTCGAACTAGCCAATCAAAAATCTGCAAAATTCAATTGGTTGCTGAAACGTTCGAATGTGTCTCTTACTGCTGAATAGACCTCCTTTGCGAGAGTGTGAGAAACGCTCGCAGCGCTGGTGGCAGTGAGGGCAGACTCAACA